TAAATATGTAAAAGAAATCAACAAATCTTCTCTATTACATTACTCATTTTATCACATAATTCGTTTTCTTCTCTTGGTATATCTTGCAGAGCTTATTGTATAAAACATAAGTACAAATACAGCTACTTGTGCAAGTTGCAGGTATTTGACCATTGCAAAGACATGAATGAGAAACATCGTACCTAATTAACGTGGTGCTGTCTTACCAGTCCATCATTGTTGGAAGTTTTCTGAATGTGAGTTCATGTATACGTAACATGGCATCTTCCTTTAATTCCAACATAATGATTTCATTGAATTGAACACAATAATTGTCAAGATGCAGCTAGTAATATGTCTTGGTTTCTGAAATATTCTGAATGATATTGGCAGTGGAGTATAGAAGTAGGTGATTGGAGGAAGATCCAACTTATACTCATTCTTGGAGTCAAACACAAAGTTTAATTGTATAATTAGATCAATTTGTTTAGCACAAAGTTATGTGCTACTGATTTTCCCTTATATCTACTTCAATGATGAATTCAAACACATTAATATAGAAATTGACAAACATCACCACCTTTACCAATTATTTGATCTTGGTGTTTCAACTTTACATTCAGTGAATTAGGTTATTAGTTGTTATTTTTAATTGCATGATTTTGGGTTAGAGTTAGTTGTATTGATTTGGTTGCTCCCTTGATTTTTATTAAATATTTAAATTTTAAGTATTTTATAAATTTTTGAATGTTTTCAATTCAGTCTTATTAAACTTTTTATCATATAAAATATTTGAATTTTTACGTTTTTCAATTTAGATTTTACAATATTTATTTTCGTCAATATAAAATGATGAGTGATTTTTATCAGTCTCAATAAACATGTTAGATAACAAAACTACTCTTTTATAACTTTTATGTCATTATCTACAATTTTTATATCATCATTTACAATAACTAAAAATTAGTCTGTCAACACAATTAATGTGATTTTTTATTATTTAACAAGTTTTCAATAAAAATAATAAATACCACTTGTCATTCTATATTAATAAATATTATTTTATATTAACTAATTATAATTTTATATTTTTTAGTAGATGATTCAAGTAAACAAAATAATAAAATAAAATATCATTCACATGAAAATGAGACAAATAAATCATGTGGATGATGCACCATGTTAATTAACCAAATCACTTAAAAGTTTAATAAAAAACTAATAAAAAAAAGTAAAATTATACAATAGCGGAAATAGAAGAATAGATTACTAGAAGAATAGATAAGTAAAATTATCACTAGAAGAATAGATTTTAAGACAAAAATATATTTTGCAAGCATATATTACTTATACGATCAAGATATATTTTCTGCTCTTCATTGATTTTATTTCATTTGAGGTGAAGTACTATAAATGGCTATTTACTTTATTTTGGGCTAACTTTCTATTATTTAACGAGTTTATTTTTAAATTTTGTAAATGTCCATATTACCCTTTATTAATATTTTTTTGTTTAATTATTTTATTTTTAAATTTTGTAAAAAAAAATAATTTATTTTTATAACTATTTTGTAACTGTTGTTTTAATATAGACAATTCTTTACCAAGTTTATCTTTTATTAATATATGTTATATTTTAAACTTTATAAATATTTTTAAAACTCAATTAATTACTTCTAATACGAAAATTATATCATAATTTTTTATATTTTTACAATGATAAAATAAGTAAATACACTTACGCAAACACATATGGTGCCGCTAATTATTATAAAATGATTTTCTATAATCCCTAATATTAAAGTATAAAACGTTTAGTCACCATCTTTTGTTAACAGTAAAGTAGCTCTCTCTTTTTCTTAAGGATAATGAAAAACTCCATTCAGTCACCATCATATGACACGTAAATGATGTTAAAATATTGTCAAAGTATCATTATCCTTTCCTTAATAATGAAAAACTCTATGTTATATGCCAAATCAAATGATAAATATTGATTAAAGAATCTAAATACATAATTACTTATAAATAAATACTTTTAATTTTATTATTCATAAATGTTATAGGCGTGTTTTAAACCCATATAATTTTTACATTGGAAATGGAAATATTAGAATGACAATAGAACAAAAGTAAAATGGTAATAGTATTTATTAGTGTTTTAAATTTAAATGGTGTTTATATTATATTTGACTATGGTTAAATAAAAAACATGAACTTAAGTCAACAATGTCATATATGCTTGTTGTATTTCAAAATATATTAATAGACATTATCATTATATAATGATAAAAATTGAAAGACATAAATGACATAATTAATTAACTAGAGTGAAAAAAAATTACAGTTATTTTAAATTCTGCTAATTTATTATATTTTAAAATGACAATTACATTTAAAATATAACATAATTAATTTGATATATTTTTCTCCTACTAATTTGTTTAAGATGAAAGCAGTATAAAGTGAGTAAAAAAAAACTTTCACTGACTTTTTAAGTTATTTTTTTCTCTTCATTTTGTAAAAAGATCTTTAAAAATTTTCAGAATTTGTTTTATAATTACTTCAGCTAGTGTAGCAAAAAATGTCTTGAATTATTTGCATTTTAACACTACATCCTATGTATTTCTTTATTCTCCGAGGAAAAACATGAAGAGTTAAAACTAATTACAATAAGTTAAAGTTATTAGGTCTGTTGAAAATTTTAGTTCTTAACCTTATAATTAATAATTTAATATTGGTTTAATAGGTTCGGAGGTCCCTATATTTGTGGGTTCGTTTCAATTGGGTCCTCCAATTTTAAAAGTGATCAATTTGGTCCCTAATTTAACAAAATTGAGTCAATAATACCCTTTCCGTTAAATGCAATGGACGACATTAACATTTTAAACATGTGGTATGTTGAAGCATCCTTCAAATAAAACTGTGCAACCTGCAAATAAAAGGATGCCTCAACATGCTACATGTTTAAAAAGTTAACGCCGTCCATTACATTTAACGGAAAGGGTATTATTGACTCAATTTTGTTAAATTAGGGACCAAATTGATCACTTTCAAAATTGGAGGACCCAATTGAAACGAACCCACAAATATAAGGACCTCCGAACCTATTAAACCTTTAATATTTATAAGTAACTTTTTTATCTAAGATTAATTTTATAAAATATTTGATAAGTATTATTTGTTTTAAACCTTTATTTTCCACTCTTAAAGGATGAGAATTAGACATATCATAACAGAAATTTCAATTAAATTGAAGTCTAAAAAAATGAAATTTTGTCTTTAAAATCATTTTTTTCATTTCAATTGATAGTCAAGAAAATAATATTAATATTTTAATCTCAAATTAATTAAAATAATATTACCAAAGTCAATAGATCTATACTTGAAGTTCTTCAATAAAATCACAATCAATTATTAGAATCACATATCCACTCATTCGGTAAAGTATGTTTTTTTTTTTTAAATTCCACTGTTTTCTATTAGGAACAATATTATTTTATAAATTAATATACATATAAGAAAATGTACATTTTAGGTGTTATGTTAATGGAAAGAGTTGCAATAATCATACTTTTTAGACGTTAATCGGAGGCTGACATTATCGTTATTAGACTGAAATATAGGTATACCTATTCAAAGAAATTATTTGTGTTACTTTTGAAATATAGGTACCAACAACGGTTGAAAATAATCATTTCTGTTACATTTGAAATATACCTATTCAAAGAAATTATTAAAAAAGGTATACGTACCTTTAATGGTGGGTGTAGTAGATCCGTATAAATACCAAAGTTATGTACACAACAAAGATTGTAGTAGCAGCAGAGGCAAAACATGATCGAGAAAGAAAAGGAAGAAATAAAAAAATAAAAAAATAAAAAGGCCGAGGGCCCATTCACACCACCATTGTGCCTTACAGCTAGTTCCTGCCAACACATTTTTGTCCTTAACTTTGTTTTTTTCATAAAACAAAATCAAAATATATCCTTACTATATTTTCTGATCATAACATTTTCCTAAAAATTAATACACAAAACATGCACCCTGTCTCTCTTCATCACACCCAAAGTGCACACTCCAATAATGTAAACAACAATCAAACTCAAAAACTCAACTAATCAGAAATTTCTTTTGGGGCGTTCATATTTTTTCTTTCTTTCTGCTGAAGATGACAGAAGAGTGTTTAATAAATTTATTAATTTTATTTAGTTTAAATCTGTTTTGTTTTTAATGAAAAAAAAACATTTTTTTTATGCACGGTGTGTCTCCGCGGCGAAGAACAGGGCGTTCACAACCTAAAGAATATTAAAGGCCGACCAAATTTTGGTCAAGGAATCCAAAAGCGTCAACTTGAAACGGTGACGTTGAAAAGAAAAATATTGTTTGATCATCAAAATTTTTTAAATTCATTTTACACCGTTTTTATTTATCTTTTATTGAATTTTTTCTTGAATAAATATAAAATTTTATATTTTTATGATTATTTTATCAATATTAAATGAATGTAAAAGTGTCTCATGTTAAAAAAAATAAAATGAAAGATAGTACGTGCATAAATATATGTAATTTGTTTAGGGATTATAATGGTATTTGTGCATTTGGTTTTCTAAATTGGCGAATTATTAGGTAGGAAGCATTTATTCAAACTTATGGAGTTTGAAAGCACGACAAGGTGAAGGACAGGTTTTGATGTTTTGTGAAGGAGAACGTTAAGCTAGGGTTTAATTTATGAGACATCATTAAGACGCTCCCGAATGTAGTTGGGTTGGAATGACGTTGGTGGCGACAAACAATTCAATCAACCCCATACTTTCAAATCATAAAAGTCTCTTCCACCTCCATCGCTGTCATCTTCATCACCTACACAACACACTTAACTCATGTCTATAAACTCATCAACAAATTTTAAACTAAAACTTTAATGTATCACAGTTCGATCCGTCTCATTTTCAGGCTGTCAATTACATAATTTATCAATTACCCGAAACAGTAACCATTAGCATCACTTGTAGAGAACGTGAATAAGTGTAATTTATTTCAATTTTATACTGACCAAAGAAGACTTTACTAGTAATAATACATAAAAGTTGCAGATAAATCTACATTGGTACTAGAAATCCAAAGAGAAAAAGCGTGTATTATATAATAAGAGGATGCGCGTGCGTGTTCACATGTGTGGGTTCTGTAGGTGTGTGCAGGGCAGAACGGGAAATTCACCAGCGCTTCCATCTCTCGCTCTCGTATCCCTCAGAATCTCTAGATCTGCAAATCTGCGCCGTTATTTTCCACTATATCCCTTCTTTTCTTGTTTCTTGCATTTACGATCAAAGCAAGAACATCGCAAAGGAGGAGAGAGTAAATGCACAGAGAAGAAAAGAGGCCCTCGATGGGGCAGGACCGCCGGAGCCCGCCGCCGGTGGGCTGTAGTAGTAGAACGGAAAATACGGCACAATCGGGTTCGGCGGCGGTGGTCTGGGGTAGTTTCCGTTGCTGGGAGGAGGGTAATAGTAGATTCCTCCGCCACTTCCACCTCCACCTCCACCTCCACCGCCGGTGGATGCTGGTGGAGGTGGTGAGGAGTAGATGTACTGAGAGGGTGGAGGTGGGGAGTAATAGTAGGAACCTCCGCCACCGCCTCCGGAGGAAGGAGGAGAGGGCGGTGGAGGGCAGTTTGTGGTGGAAGGAGGTGGCGGTGAGGGAGGCGGCGGCGGGGGAACTTGGCTGCAGGGGTTTTGACAAGACGAACACATGGTGCATTGGATCTGCGCATGTGAGGTGGCTTTAAGGGAGTGTTTATGATGGGCATGTTCTCCCATTGTCACACTAGCCAGAAGCAACAACGTTAAACACAACAACCTCATCCGGTACTACCTAGGAAAGGAAGATGAAGAATGGAGTGGAGAGTGGGAAGAGAAAGTTGGGTGAAGCAGTGGTAAAAGAGTGGTGTGTGGAGTAAAGACTAGGAAATAAGAACTCCTACTCTCTTACTCTCTTATCTTTTAAGCTACCATCCTACACTTTTTATTAACGCCACCAACTTTATACTATAATATGCATTTTTTCGTTGTGTGCGAATGAATGGTTGGTTTAACGGACACCAGATTAAAAATAAAAGTTTAATGAGTTATATTGTAAAAGATGAGGTCGACACGTTTTGGTTTCACACGTTGGGCAGACTTGTTTGAATTGAACACTATCACTGTTGGAACTGTGTTATGTTATTATGATTACCAAAATAGGTAATTAGGTTAGTTTCGTAACTTTGAAATAAAAATAACTAGTTTTAGGACACTGCAGAAGCTAAGAAGACAGCATATGTGTCTGTTTTATTTTGATAGTAAAAGGTAGAGTTTATTGAGAGAATTGGGTGATGATTCATTTTGTTTTGCAGTGGAAAGTGATGATCAGGCAACTCAAGAAGGAGACGCAACTTCCACGTGGGGCTGCTACCGTTAGGAACTCATCACACTATACTCTTTTTGTGTACTCTGTTTCCAAACCAAATTCATAAACATAAATAATTAGAAAATTTGTATATATAAATTTTCTTGATGAAAATAGAAGTATCAACAAATTTTAAATATTTTTAATAATTGTTTTATTGGTAATTTATACTATCTAGGTATAGTTACGTCACTAGTTAATGAATCAATTTTACAGTAAAAAATTGAGTGTTCTAAATAGGTCAAAGTGAAACAATAATTTTGTTTTGAAAAAAAAAATGATTAACTATTATATTTTCTTATAATTAATTTTGGTATCTATTTTTTTCCTTGGTGGAGAAACTGATGAGATGGCTAAATTTCTAACAGAACGGCATTAAATAATATATAGGAGCAAGTACTATAGCAGAAAAGCTATTCAACAAAGCAACTAACACCATTAATAACAAGCTTTCCCCCATTTCTCTTCTATCATATTCTCACTTTCTCTCTTTTTTGGGTAGATATTGACATCAGTTGTTGGTGACATGAAAGTCTTGTGGGAAACTAAAAACAGAAAAAATATTATGTTTTTGTGTTGTTTCTCAACCAATTATAATACAATGGTTAAGTTTGTACCAATAGCATTCAATATTTAAGAAAAGATTAATCAGGACGCAGCGAACTAATAAAAATAACACAAATAAGTGAATAAATATATATGATCGATAAGTTATACAAATATCACCAAAACTCACACTTAAAATTATTAAGTATATATCACATCAGAGTAAAATATTATCTTATTTACAAAACAATATTTTGATACACAAAATTTTTTTATATTATTTTTTTACTTTTTACTTTTTTTACTTTTTTACTTTTTACACAAAATATAGAAAATTTTACTTTTTTATAATTACTTTATTTTTATAATATATATATGTTTAATAATTGTAAATGTATGTCATCTTATCCATATTTTTACAAAATGGTATTTGTCCATTCTTCTTATTTCAAATGTTTGTGTTTGGATTTCATGATTATTTATTGAAAAGAAGAAAAAAACTCATAACTTTTATGATTCTTTCGAATAGCATTAAATGCAAAAGTTTTGTAGATGAATGAAGTATGTGTTTTTTTACTGGTAATAGCAAGAGATTTAATGTTTGAAATAGTTTTGAGTGTATATCTTCAAAACATTGTAGTTTCTGGAATATAGCGACATCATCGTTCAAATTCATCCACACATATGGTTCTTTAGACAATATATGTTCGTTTGTTTCTTTAAAAAGAGAAAAATAAAATACTATCCTCTCTCTTTTACAAAATTTGCATGTACTTTTTCTTTCTTTCTTTTACATTGTAAATGGAAGTTTTTCATTGTCATATCAGCAACATTGAATTAGGAAATAACTTATAAGCTCTATATAACAGCATGTGTTGTATATTATCATCAAGAAGGTCGGAAATACTATGAAATGTGGCATCAATGATTACTTCCTTTATTCATATTGTTCCTGCTTGTGTAACACTGTAATATAATTAAAAGAAATAGAATAATTAATGACACCTAGAAAAAATATAGATTTTATAATTAATATGACGTGATAGAAATAAAGAGTGAAAAATGATAAGTTTTTATTAGAAATTTAAAAATAATAAGTACCCATGTATAGGCGCTCGTAATAATTATTTTAAGCTAGATTTGATTGTTTGATAGAGTGAAAGCAAAGGAAAACCACTAAGACTGTCTTTTACAATGTTTAATGAAAATATTCTAAGAATTCTTTTATCTCTTTCAATTCATTATTTCCATTTTTACTTCCCAATTTGAATTTTAATATTTAAAAAAATATTAGTAATTAAAAATAACTTTTTCGGACAACAGAAATGATTTATCATAAATTTACATGTAATCTATACACTAGAGAATATTTATTTATTATAAATTGTAATTATAACATAATTTAGATGTTAAAAATTATTAATTATTATAATTTTTATCTAAAATGCAGGTTTTTTATACTAAACTGTTATTATTTGGTTGGCATGAATAAATTACCACATGTAATGTTTTTTGTAGCTGATAATGACAGTTGTGGATGTGGTTAATTCAAATTCTCGTTTGAAATTTATGTAAGGTTTTTCTGTTTTATATGAGCATAGATCTTAACATGCAAAGAAACTGTAATACAACACAGCACAATGGGTCAATGGCCCAGATTAGGGAGATCATGCTCCCGGACTCAACTCTTTATAACAAGATTTCTTTTTGCACCCTCGTATTCTCTTTACCCACATCATAAATATGAAAAATTCTTTCTTTTGACGTAAAAGTTGATTTCCAGAATTGTATGACATTTTTTAATTTTTGGATTGTGAAATTAAAATAAATTTTAATTTTTTTGATTGTGAAATTCATAAATAATTTTTTTATGAAAGACCGTTTTTGGTTGTACAATCTGTTTCATATAAAAAAATTCAGATTACACGATATGGATGTATTTTCGGTAAGAAACTTTCAGCACGCAACCTACAAACTTTTTAATTTTTAATTTTTTAAATTGTATAAGTTAAAAGTCATTGATTTTCAAATTGTGCAGTCTGGAGAAAGAAAAGGCCGTTCAAAATTTGGGCCAAAATTGGGCTCACCCAGGTCCCAGCAATAAAAATTATGGGCTTCCGAAGGTATCACTTCTCTTGGAGATTATTTTGAAGCAAAACTTGGCGTGTTAGTGTTACAGTAGTAAATTGACATTTAAAATGAAAAAACCGAATATTTTTATCAGAAATAAATAAATAAAAAGTGGTGATAGTAATATATATCATATAATCTTTATTTAAGCAATCCATTTAATTTGAAATAGTTATATTATCTTTGACTTCTATTAGAGCTTACAAATATGTATATTTTCACCCATAATTAATAGGAACATTAATTGGGAACTTTGTCCAATTTAAAACTTGTTTGAAGAGAAAAAAAAAGTAGTAGAGATATTTAAAATAGAGTTAATAATAGGAAAAAATAGAATGGTTGGGATGAGACAGTGAGAGAGACGTGAGCGCAAGTGAAGGCGTTTGGGCCAATGACGTTATAAAGTATATCCCAAAGACAACATAAATCCGCTGGAGTCAACACTTAAAAAACCTCTCTTTTCGTTGGGATCTACCAATTCAAATTAAAGCACGTAATAGAGCTGTTAAATGGAACGTTTGAGCCTCAACATTTTACAAATTTCTTTTTTTTTCTACTAAAGTGAAGCAGACACTTTTTCTTCTGTGTAAAAAAAAGAGAGAGAATCCGTTTGTATGATAAAACAATATGATTTAGGTTAAGATATTATTTTAGTATTTATTTTCATTTTATTTTGTGAATTCAGTTTTAATATTTTTTTAATAAGATTTTTAATTTTTATTAATTTTTTTAATTTAATTATTATTTTTAATATAGTTTAAATAATTGATGGTAAGGAAATAATGTGTTATATATCAATTAGTGATTTTATTAATTAAAAACTGCAACATCCCATATTATTTAGAAGCATATAACATAGTAAGTCCACATTTAAATAAAAGAGAACAATTAGAGTAGAATGTAAACAAAATAGTTAAGCTTACATTCATCCCAGAATAAGACATAATTTAAAACTTAAACACAAGTAGAGTATTTCAAAAGGATAGTAGTCAACGTGAAAATCCTTAACAGCTAAATAGTAATTCAAAATACAAGAAATACTAAAAGAGCCATAAGGAGACTAAGCCACAACATTGTCTTCCTCCATCTCTAGATCATTACAATATAAGGCCCAATTGCCATATATTTTTAGGCCCTTACAAAAACAATATTCATGGATAACATGTAAATGCTAGTGTCACTATCATATGTTGATATTATACATCAAATATTTAATTTGATTCTTAAATTTGTTATTTTTATTAGTCTTAATTTCTTTTAGAATAAAATAATTTTACCTATTTTTAAATTTAGACTAAATTTAATTTTTATATAAATGTTATTAAATATTTTTAATTTAGGGATAGAGTTGGTTTGAAATTAAAATAAAAATTTTAGAAATGGAAATAAATATCATTGGTTTAAAAAATAAAAAATATAAACTATTTAATATGATTGTTAAGTTAAACATCAATTAGTTTAAAATAAAATTCAATATAATATTTATATAAAAATTCAGTTTAATTTGAATGCTCTACTTTAATAAAAGTTTCTTTTTAATATAAGTATTTTCTTCGCAATTTTTAAACTCTGTAGCTATATTCGTAAAAAAATTATTCTGCATAAGCATTTTTTAAGTTTAATTTTTTTAAAATAAAAATAATATAAAAAAAATTACGAACTAAAATGTAACGTACATTATTAATTATAATATTAAGATTGAATTGACAAAATTGAATAAAAATAAAAACTAAATTAATATTTTAACAAATTTTAAAAGGCTATGAAAATGGAAAGACACGCAACGCAATCGATGCAAGTTTTCAAGCGGAACATGCTTTGTCCTTTGAATAAATTAACCAAACACGGCACAAACAAAGACATAGA